TGAGGCAAAATGGGGGAAGAGGCTGTCAATGACCTATCCCTTGTCCTTGGTCCCTCGCGGGGCAGGCGTCCCACATAACAGCATGTTTGTGCGGTTCGGAGAGGCGTGACGGGCCGCGAGGCCCGAAACGCAAGCCCATCGGGAAAATGTCCAAAAACACACTTCCAGGAAAGTTGAGAAAATATCTGCCACCTTACACTCCATCACGGTCGGGAAGGCCAAACGCTGGGTACTCGGTTGATAGACCTTGGGTTCAACGCCGAAGCTTGGACTCCGTTGATTGACACGTTGCCAGGGGTGGTGCCGCGGGCTTTGAGCGACGGCACGCACTGCACTTACACTACACTCGAGCACTGCACTTTGAACACTGAACTGACACTCCACTGGACACTGGGCACTGAATCCTGAGCTCGTTGCACTGCCACGCCGACGCTGTGTAACCTGCGCTGGAGGCTGGCTTCAACTTCAACTTCAAAAAGGGGTATTACTGCCACCGTAGAATCGCAGGCTATCGCAGGCACGGCCCGGCGAGCGGGGCGGAGGGCGGCGCGGCCGCCCTCGACAGATGCCAGATGGTGCGGCGCACCAGACACAGCCACTTGACGGCCGAAATGCAGGGGACGCCAACACGAAATCCAAGAAAATCACTGATAATTTCCACATCGTTGCACTGATTGGCACCAAACTTCACATGCACACTCGGGCGCACAACGCCGATCGGTAGGTACCAAGCAGTTCCTGTAAAACCGAGTTTGAACCACCAAACCTGAAGGAGGGAGACGGAGCGGCACGAAACACGTCCGACCCCTCCGCAGCACAGATCCTCTACAGAGGGAAAAGAGGAGTGCGGTGGAAGGCAGCCCCCCCCCCTCCCCAATGAGAAAGAGTTCATCTGGAAGGTAGGCAAAATCACAGTACAAACTCGTACAAACCCTTGGAATAAGCCCCTCCCCCACCCTCTCTGGTCAGCAAGGCCTAAAACCACTAATAATAGTGTATTTCGACTAACGGGGGAAGAAGAATAGCGGGTAGAACATAAACGTTACCGATTGGTCAAGAGCTTCCCGCCTCTACGTCACGCCGGTAGTGGGAGT